ATTCTCAAAAATAATTGCATTTGACTCAATTATTTTATATGTTTTAATAGTAACTCAATTAATTGTATCAAATAATTGCATCAAATTACATCAAGGATCTATCTATTTCTATTACATGTATACAGAAAGTCTTACAAAATTATATGAATTGTACTAACATACTTTACCTATATTTACTTATTAAGTATTAATGAAATATGTATACCAGCCATAAACATTATTGAATTTTTTTTTTGAAGACTATATCTAGCTTTAATTTTGCTTATATAAATTTCTCTAATACAATACTAATATATTAGAGACGTATTTTTTAATCTTTATATAATGTTTGTATAATATAATTTACGTGAAATATACAAAATAATTTCTGTAAATAAAAATTATATTTAAATTGGTTAAGTAAATAAGTTGATTATTTGACTCAAATCTTCAAATCTGTTTATGTCAATATCTCGTCTCTATCTTAAGGAAGCTTATTACATTAACGTTTATTAGGGTATGCTATTTAATAGTAATTTGACTAATTCAGACTGCATTTTATCTACACATTAATCAAAATATGATTGATTTTTATAACTACTAACATATTTTATTCATTTTTTTACGCTCAATAGAATGCACAATCTTGATTGAATATTAACTATTTAAGTTTCGTGTCTCTTATTGGTTAAATATCGAAATCTGAAAACAGAGTGCGAACTGTGTAAGTTTAATAATCATTGTTTATCGGATCAGATTGCGGATTATATGGTAAGTTCTATCAAAAACATTTTAAATATTCAAACCGTATTGAAATATTTAAACTAGATTCTTATTATTACAGTACTTTACTCTTTGAATTATAAAATCTGGATGTATGCTAACTTTATGCTATTTGAATTTATTTAGAGTTATTCTTCAAGAATGTTTGGTAAATATAATCCGTACATCTTTTATTACTAGAAAATGTAAACCGTTGCATGTATTTTAAAGTAATTATAAAAAACATTTTTTGAAATGATAATGGACATAGTGGACTTTTATTTTTTTGTATAACAAAGATATATGATATCAGATTAATCTGTGTATTATGATTAGAAATTGTAACGAGAACAATTTCAGATAATACAATAAATAAACTATTATAATTAGTACTCAAGCAACTTTTTTATTTGCGGACTGTTTGGTAAGTCTCGCGTATAAGGTAGATATAATGGAGGAGAAGTTATGCCACTTCGATAAATTCGACAATTGTAGTCTTCAGCAATTTTGCTGATTCGTTCCTGCCAATGCAAAATATAAATGAAAGTTGTTAATTATTTCATTGAAACATAAAGATGAAATATGTTGCGTGTGTACCTCTAGTGCCACAAAATGCCGGATATTTGACTCCAGCAAAGGAATGGTGGCTTTATTTTTGACCAGTTGGGTAGTTAAAAAAGGCCATGACCGGTAAAGCCCATCGTATTTGAGATCCATAACATATGATTCTACCAAATCTCCTGAAGGAATAGTTTAATATACATAATTAATTGAATTGAAATCAAGCTTTATTAACTATGAGCACACATACCTTGATTAGTTAACAGCATTGCTTCTTCTGGACCACCTTTCATATTTAACAACTGATTGATGGACTCGAGCCCTTGCAACTGTACCTTCAACTTGTCTTTTTGTTGTTGGAGAGGTGTGAATCCAGGTGGTTTGATCTCTGAATTCAAAATAGGAATTTCGTCGACCAAGCACGAAAAATCCGCCCTCTTTGTTGGACCCTTTGTTACACGATTCAACCGAATCTTATATTCTTTATTTGAACCGGTAAAAAACAACGGACGGATGATTGGATGTAGCAACTGGAAACAATGTTCATCTTCTGATGTTTCGATTGGGGAAACGTCAGGAACACTACTACAACTGTTATACATGAAAAAAAGGTAAGAGGCAGGATTGACCTCGGTTTACACATGTTACAAAATGAAGACTTACATGTCATTGAAAATTCTAGAAACAGCCTGACCAACTTCGGAATCATATATAGATAAAAAATTGGTCTTTCCTTTTAAACGATCAACAGACGCACTTCGTAAAGAGGATAAAACATCCGCTGGTAGTACTGGATCAGTTATAGCATACGGATTTTCACGTATAATTTTTTGCCATTCTCGACTGGTGAAAATAGGAGCGGGGTAAGGGCAAGGTGAGCTTAATACAATTACTGAAGACAATGCCCTATCAAGCATGCAAAGAAGTCATTAATATAATACATCATTCAACATTATTATATATCAGAAATACTCACATTATTTCATAAAAATCATTCCACTTTAATCCGTTAGTCTTCGCCTTCTCAAGCACCTCTATCTGATATTGTCTGAATCTTTGAGATACGTTGATGTTATCAACTACCCACTAAAAAATGGAAGAAAAGTGAGATATTCAAATAAAATAACCAAGATCTTGACATGTGGCATACCTCATTGATAGGTTCCAATTGCAACACCCTTTCAATATCTGTAAAATCAAACTTTATTTCTTCTTCATCTTTAAGCTCTACATCAGAAGAGAAGGACTCTTCACTGTCGTTTGTTGATCTCGGGTTCTTTGTGTTTGGGGTACTTTCAACTTCTTTTTTTGCCTAAATATAGAAAATATATGGGCTTTTTATGTTCTCTTAACTTTACCACTTATAATTATTTACCTTTTCACGTGAAACGTATCCTTCAATTTCATTCCTTCGTTTATGAGGGGTTGGTAACTTTATATCTTCGGCTAATACTTCTTGGGTACACGCATATTCAGTAAGCTGTTTGCAAGAAGAAAAGCGTTAGAACAAGTAAATATAGTTATAAATATATCACTGATTCTGACTACTACAAACAGTCTGAACTTTTATAACTAAACACATTCTCAATAGTACCTCGTCCTCGTCATAATCGGATACTAAAAATGGGCTGTTCTCTGCAACTGCGATCGTTTCTTGACTTGAACCGAGTGATGTGTTAATCACAGATAACAACAGATAAATTTGACTATAATATAACTTACATGCATGCCTTCTCTCGAGACGAGTTTACATCCACTTCGTCAACTGCTTCGTTCTAGTACAGATAAGTGTATGAATAAGTTGGACTTATTTCTTAGAACTTTAAGAATTGCCTTACCTTTTGGTGTCCACTTTGCAAAGGAAAGGCAATAGATTCTGCAATTTTGCTGTACACTTTCATACTACCAATCATATGTGCTCGCATTGCCTTCATCTATCTTGTAAGAGTTTGATCATTATTTGTATAATAGTAAATAAAAGATAACACATAAAGTGGAATCAAGACCTTTTCCCGCTCATAGATTATTCCTTCCCAGTAGATCCGCAAACCTTTGTTTGCACATTGATATTTTACCTGTGTAGAAATAAGAAAGCGTAAATTCTGCCATTTTCACATTACAAGCAAACATTTTAAATTCAGGCGATGAAAATACAAGTCGCAATAGTGAGGTTTGGAATGACAGCCAATACTCTAATCTAGACGACAATAGACAAGAGCTACCATCACTATCACTCGGGTTGGAATGACAGCCAATACTCCTAGTCTAGGCAACAATAGACAGGAGCTCCCTATTATAAAAAGGGAAGAGTACGTAACCTGCTTCTCAATAGCCTCATAGTCATCTGGTCTCAGTCTTTTTGCTTGTTTCAGAAATCTACGAGTCCAGGTGAGGTCAAGAACATGCCATTCGCTCGAAAAAGGTTGTGAGGAAAGAATAATATTACGATGAAGGTTTAAAAATTCAGGGTATGACCATTCTGTGTGCTCGTACAAGTAAGAGATAAGTTCTGTAACAATTTTTTATGACAAGTTAGAAAAGAAGGAACTTATTTTTCTATTAAATTGCCACCTACACTTACGAGTATAACCAGAGTAGTAGGGTTCACTCATGATGCAAAGCAACTCTAAAACGATTTGCAAGACGCGTTTTAGGCCACTATAAATAGTTTACAATCACATGATATCATTACCACATACGTATTACGTTAGGGTATTTCAAATACTAATTAGTCAAAATTATGTAAGGGTGCAGTAATAATGATACTACTATTAGATTTTAGCATAAAATTGATCGACAAAATTGAGATGTCTTTACTAGTATTTTTTTTTGGTAATTTTTGTAGCAAACAATTGCTATAATGTAACCCGAAGAAGTTACAATTTAAAAATTTTAATTAATCAACCATTTTAAACTATTACATTAATAGGACTTTTTTTCTTTGTTTTACTATATATGCTTTAGTCAAAAGATGTATGTTTATTACGAATCGGCCTTAATAACCAAAAATTTAAGATAGTAATTGTATAAAGAAACGTTTCATCATATTGTATGTAAAGTTTTATTGTAAGATTTTGTGATGGTTTTAATGCTGATGCTCTTTAAAATCAGCTTTTGTTATCATATATATGTTATGACCAAAAAAATCGTGAGCGTTTGTTATGAATTGGCTTTGCTAAATAAAAATTATTTAAAACTGTAATTGTGTAAAGAACGTTTCATCATGTTGTATATAAAGTTTTATTGTAAACTTTTGTGATGGTTTTAATGTTGATGCTCTTTAAGATCGCTTTTGTTATCATGACAAAAAATCGTGAGCGTTTGTTACGAATTGGCTTTGTTAATAAATGTTAAAACTAATCATTAAGAGAAGTTTTCATCATATTTAATTGAAAATTTGGTGTTAATTTTAATGATAAATCATTTTAAGATTCAGCTTTTGTTTCAGTTAGGTGTTTAACTAAAAAAACATGCACATTTGTTTCGAATTGGCTTTTGTCAAAAAAAATTTAAAAATGTAGCAAGAATAACTTTTCGCATATCATCGTTTTATAGTTTTTCACATATTATCATTTTATAGTTCCACATATCATCATTTTCATATATCATCATTTAAGCCAAACTTTTTTTTTTTGACCCAATATACCACATGTTTCTAAACGCAGAGTGCAATTAAAAGGTGCACGTAAATCATTAGCCAAAAAGCGCGAGATAAATCAGCGCAAAAAGTTTATTAGTGAAATAGTAAAGTACTTGAAAAAAATTACTATACCCGAACTTAAAATAATACACGATGAGATTTTTAATAACTCAAATATTAATACACCCACGTATATGGTGCGAACAGTCTAAAGCCATCAAATAACTTTGAAGTGTAAAGGATTTTTATTTAAATATATAAAAATTATTTGTAGTTAGAATTTTTCTAACGTCAATTTTAATAGTAATGACCAGATTTTCAGCGCCTCCGGTATCACGTGCAAAAACATGATTGGCACGTCTATTATCACGTGGCTGTATATGATTGGCTAGATCGCAACAGATAAATCGTATGTTCGTCATATTGATAGCACACATTATGGCTGTCACAAAATCATGACCTAATTTAATTTTTTAAACTCTGATGCTGCTAGATTTTAATTTTTTGTTTCGATTATTTTTTTTTGATTATTTTGGCAAGGAAACGTGCATGTCTTTTTGGTCATTTATCCTCTCTTTATGAAAATTAATCTTTGTGTGTAAATCATCACATTTCCAGAAAGAAAACTTTCTAAAACCAAAGATTTAATAAGCTATCGATCACCGATCCCATTAGTTAGGCGAGGTTCTTCGGGTGCTGCAGCGTTAAAGTTTCTTGGAATCAAAAAAGGAAAAAAGAAAACCTCATCTGGTATGTTGTCTCTTTTCATCAAATTTAGCCAATGTACTTTAGATGTTACTAAAATCCAATAACATCTGTTTGTCAAAAAAAAGTATTGTTGAATAATCTTGTTAGCTATTCGTGATCACAAAACTTCCGATGCTTTGGCAATACTTACACATTTGTCGAGTCACGCTCTGAAAAAGAAAAGACCCAATGAAGCAAATTGGGCATTATTGATGGCCATGGCGAATCGGATGGAGGATGTCGCATTGACCATGTATGAACGCGGAATTCCGGGTGATGTGAATTCCCCGATATTCGTCAAGCAGACGAAGAATTCGGAACGTGGTGGCATCTCCAGTATGAAATTTCCGAGTTACTTTATTTTATCGGTAGCTCTTGGACTATATAAACTGACACAAGCAATGTTTAAGGTATTTTCAGCGATCATGGTTATTATATTTAATGAAGTTTGGAGTGAGCGACTGATGAACACCCTTGATTTTTCGCAGCGAGCCAATGTAAACCAAACATGGTTTGGCCTCTCGCCATTGATAATCCTCACAGCTCAGACAACCCCAACGTCATATGCGAAATCGGACTCCGATGCCGCAATTTTAATGAAGATCTTTCTTGAACATGGAGCCGATCCTTCGCAAGGGTTACCATATGAGCAATTTAATATGCTGAGGAGGCTAAAGGCGAGAAAATCGAATATATTAAGTTTGGCAGGTTCCATTAAAGCGTCACATAAAAGTATCTCGCGTCAATTCAGCAGCAAGCATGTGAAAGCCGAGAAGGTCAAGGAAGAGACGAAAATTTATGCAAAGGACAAGTGGGTGACACCGCTAGACATTGCGGCTGTCAGTGGTAATATTGAGATTGTGAAGATATTACTGTCAAGGTTGGCCTACATTTATTCTCTCGATTGAATTTTTTAACATTACTGATGTCTGATTTTCGATACCTAGAATGGATAGATCGAAT